GGTACAAATGTTTTGTGCAATAACAGCCATATTCATTATTTATCTATTCTTAACTTAATATTAATATACATTGCATGTCTAACACTGTAACAATTCTCAACTTATCTAATTCTAATAATGTATTTTCTGTATTCCACTAATCTACTTTTATTTCTAACTTTCATATTTATTCTCTAGCCATCAGTAAAATAGTTCCCATAATATTCAGTTTGTTCCTTCTCTTTAATTGCAAGTGTTAACCTATTCATTTCTGCACATTCTAATATTTTCCTAATCACATTCTCATCCATAGGAATCTCTTCACTTTTCCAATTTTGTGCAAATACAATCCTAGCTGCAGGTATTACATGAATAATCAAATATATATTCTATTTACTATAAGTTTCTGGTAAAATCCCCAACAAAAATATTTTGGGTTTCAAATCAATATGTTGTTGTATCATCTTTTCCAATCACGTGTGTATTTTTGTCTGGTAAAATCCCCAACAAAAATATTTCGGGTTTCAAATCAATATGTTGTTGTATCATCTTCTCCAATCACGTGTGTATTTTTGTCCAGTATTTTTTGGCTTCTGTGCATTTCCACAACATATGATAATACGGCCCAGGTGTCATGTGATATTTCCAACATTTAGCTGATTTGTCTTTAAACATCTTTGCCAGTCTTGCCGGTGGAAAATGCCATCTATAAAACATCTTATACAAGTTTTCTTTATATGCGGTTGACATTGTTAATTTGTAGTTTCTATCCCAGTTGTTGCCATTTTTCTAATTCTATTGTATAACCAACATTTTTTGCCCATGCTATCAGTGTCTCCTTCATTTGTTCTTCTAATTTGAAACCCAATAAATAGCTATACAGTTTCTTTATCACCCTCTCTTCTGTTCCTGTTAATATCTTATCCAATTCTGTCAATTCCATATAAAAATCATATAATTCAGTATCTTTTTCATATCTAGATTGTATTTGCAGTTGTGTTTACCAAACCATATCAATCCCTTGCTCTTTCAATTCTTGTTTAGTTTTGAGCTCACCTTTTTCATTCAAAATGTCTTTATATCTAACAATATTTCCCATATTAATGATATTTGGATGAACAAGTTTTCAAAGTGCATCGAGCCCAAACATATATGGCCATAAGCTTCCATCAAAGAATAGAAAATAATAATATAAGGAGGTGGAGAAAGACGAAAACTGTCACAGAGGCAGAAAAGAAAAAACTTAAAGCCTCGAAATGCAGGTCGTCCTCGACTTAGGACCGCAATTGAGCCTAAAATTTCTGCTGGTAAGCGAGACCCTCGTTAAATGAGTTTCACCCCATTTTACAACCCTTCTTGCTACAGTTGTTAAGCAAAATCTGATTTCCCCATCGACTTTGCTTGTCAGAAGGCTGCAAAAGGGGACCTGATGACCCCCCAGGACACTGCAACCGTCACAAGTACGAGTCCATTGCCAAGTGCATGAATTTTGATCAGGTGCTCGTGGGGGATGCTGCAACCGTCGTTAAGTGTGAAAAATCAGTGTCACGCGTCACTTTTTTCAGGGCCGTTACAACTCTGAACGGCTGTTAAATAAACTATTGTAAGTCAAGAATTAACTGTGTTTCCTTTAAAGTAAAAGCTGTAGGTGGCTCATTTTAGGTTAGAAAGAAATCAGATTCCCCCGACCTGCCCCCCCCCCCAAGATCTCATGCTGGCTGGGGATTTCTGGGAGTTGAAGTCCGCATGTCTTAAAGTTGACAAGGTTGGTCATCTCTAGAGCCTGAAAATCTCCCACTCAGCTTTCTACCGCTTCATTCCGCTGCTTTTTATAGACTAGGGTAGACATACCGCACGGCTTTAAAAAAAAAAAGCAAAAACTTTGCGTATACCACATATTGAGAAATTTCCTGTGTAGGTGGGGATTGTTTTGTCCTGACTGATAACCAGAATGAATGAATCTCTCGTGCTTCCTACGCCAAGTCTCATTTCTTCTGTTCCAAATCTGCACCAGTTAGCAAATTCCATTTTTAAAGCTTGCCCAGCTATCCATGTGCCACTTTTTTATTCACATCTACATGCCGTTTTTTACCCAACGTGAACCTCTTTGTGGCATCTTTCTCTAATATATGACATTTTGTAGGTGATTTCCCTCAAGGCGTGTCTTTTTTTTTTTTCTCACAACTTTCCATAGTTCTATATGTTTAAAAGACCCTTGGAAACATTTCAGGGCAAAAAATCAAGTTCACCCATCGTATCCAGGAAGTGTGAGATCATGGTATGTATAATGTGAAGCAAACATATTTCCTCACTTTATTGAACAAAACAGAATAACAGAGTTGAAAGAAGAGAATAAGTTGGAAGGAACCTTGGAGGTCTTCTAGTCCAACCCTCTGCTTAGGCAGGAAACCCTACACCACTTCAGACAAATGCTTATCCAACATCTTCTTAAAAACTTCCAGTGTTTGAGCATTCACAACTTCTGGAGACAAACTGTTCCATTGATTAATTGTTCTCACTGTCAGGAAGTTTCTCCTTAGTTCTAAGTTGATTCTCTCCTTGATTAGTTTCCATCCGTTGCTTCTTATCCTGTCTTCTGGTGCTTTGGAGAATAGCTTGACTCCCTCTTCTTTGTGGCAGCCCCTGAGATACTGGAACACTGCTATCATGTCTCCCCTAGTCCTTCTTTTCATTAAACTAGACATACCCAGTCCTGCAACCGTTCTTCATATGTTATAGCCTCCAGTCCCGCCATCATCTTTGTTGCTCTTCTCTGCACTCTTTCTAGAGTCTCCACATCTAAGGTCTCCAAGAGACCTTGCAGATCTTCTAATCCAACCCCCTGCTCAAGCAGGAGATTACCATTTCAGACAAATGGTTGTCCAATTTCTTCTTCAAAACCTCCAGTGTTGGAGCGCCTACAACTTCTGGAGGCAAGTCGTTCCACTGATTAATTGTTCTCACTGTCAGGAAATTTCTCTAGGTTGGTTCTCTCCTTGATTAGTGTCCAACCTTTGCTTCTTCTCCTGCCTTCATGTGCTTTGGAGAATAGCTTGATTCCCTCTTCTTTGTGGCAAACCCTGAGATATCAGAACACTGCTATCATGTCTCCCCTAGTCCTTCTTTTCATCAAACTAGACATACCCAGTTCCTACAACTGTTCTTCTACTGATTGGGACACACCAGAAAGCAAGGATATGGACAACTCCAGATAGGACCTTATTTTATCCACTTCTCTGTTACCTTGTCTAGCTATGGGTGTGTGCTGCCAAGGGTACGAGGCAGCATCAATGTTTCTCTGTGGTTTCTGTGTTACTTCTGTCATTGCAAAGTGAGAAATAATTGGTGGGATGAAACCTCATTTCTTGAAAAAAGTGGGCTTAGAAGGATTTGTTTATAGCAGAAGTGTGTCATGTCACGTGTCATATCATGACATTTTTCTTGTCCGCTAAAATGGAGGTGAGCGTGGCCAGCGCGTGACACATCCAGGCCACGGGCTGTGAGTTTGACACCCCTGGTTTATAGAGTCCCTGATTTTACTGTAGGGCTAACTTGTTATTCTCAGATTAAAATAAGAGGAACGACCCTTATCCCTATTCTGAAGAGTCTACTGCTTAAAGAAAGATTGCTGGAAAGAAAGCATCAGGGGTAAAATCCATCCGGTTCTGACAGGTTCTGTAGAACTGGTAGCGGCAATTTTGAGCAGTTTGGAGAACCGGCAAATACCACCTCTGGCTGGCCCCAGACTAGGGTGGGAATGGAGATTTTTTGCAATATCCTTTCCCTAGAGTGGGGAGGGAATGGGGATTTTGCAGTATCCTTCCCCTGGAGTGGGGTAGGAATGGAGATTTTGCAGTATCCTTCCTCTGGAGTAGGGTAGGAATGGAGATTTTGCAGTATCCTTCCACTGGAGTGGGGAAAGAATGGGGATTTTGCAGTATCCTTCCCCTGGAGTGGGGTAGGAATGGAGATTTTGCAATGTCCTCCCCATGGAGTGGGGTGGGAATGGGGATTTTGCAGCATCCTTCTCCCAGGAGTGGGGAAGGAATGCGGATTTTGCAATATCCTTCCCCTGGAATGGGGAGGGAATGGAGATTTTGCAATATCCTTCCCCCAGGAGTGGGGAAGGAATGAGGATTTTGCAGTATCCTTCCCCTGGAATGGGGTGGGAATGGAGATTTTGCAGTATCCTTCCCCTGCCATGCCCACTGAGCCACACCACACCCACCAAGCCACACCCACAGAACCGGCAGTAGAAAAATTTGAATTCCACCACTGGAAAGTGTGTATTGCAATAGGGTGTGTGTGGCTGTGTTGCTGTGTTTGTGTGTAAAGAATCAGCATAACTATTTGCTAAATCACCATTAAAGCTGATTCCAGCCGGAGCATACAACAACTCAAGGATGTACTGCAATATAGGAAGATGGGGAGAGACCTAGCCAGTGATGGGATTCAGCCAGTTCGCATCTATTCGGGAGAACCGGTTGTTAACTTTCTAAGCAGTTCGGAGAGCCAGTTGTTAGAAGAAATCTTATTTTGTTTTTTTTCCACTTGACAGGGCTAATCCTGTAAGGAAGGCAGGAAGGAAACATTCTGGTGTTGTTTGTAGCCTAATCTTTATTGCCCTGATTACAGAAACTGCCACACGGTCACATGACCACCGAGCCACACGGTCACATGATCACCAAGCCACATGGTCACATGACCACCGAGCCACGCCTGTCCAGCTGTTCATTAGGGCAGAGAATCGGTTGTTAAATTATTTGAATCCCAGCACTGGACCTGGCCTATAGAATTGCCAACAAGTGGACATGTGTGAATGGATAACATTATCGTCATCATCATCATCATCTTGTTAAATAAATAAAAGCAAATGTTTTAAGAAGTGTGGGGTTAATCACAAAATGAAATGATACCGATGTGTTATTCACAGGGCAGGGCATTTTCTCCACAATGCTCTCGTTTCACTTTTTTCTGCGATGGTAACTAATCGATGTTTTCCTTCTTGTCTTTCGTTCCAGTCCTTTCACTACGCTTCCTTGAGGGTCAAGAGCAAAAAATGGCCCAAAGGTAAGTGGTTGGAAAAATTGAGAATGTAATAAGATGGCATTAAAGCCACACTTGGGTAGAAGTAAAACATTGTATTCCACCAGTATAATCCATAGTGCACCTAGAACTTGCTAAATTATTGAGCTTAGATCAAATCCAGCAATGTGCAAAATCACTCTTAACTCTGCTTTTCTCCAGTCTGTTCTCCTCTCCTTTCCTTTCCTTTCCTCTCCTTTCCTCTCCTCTCCTCTCCTCTCCTCTCCTCTCCTCTCCTCTCCTCTCCTCTCCTCTCCTCTCCTCTCCTTTCCTCTCTTCCCTTCCCTTCCCTTTCCCTTCCCTTCCCCTCCCCTCCTCTCCTCTCTTCCCTTCCCTTCCTTTCCCTTCTCTTTTCTTCTCCTCTTCCCTTCCCTTCCCCTCCCTTCCCCTCCTCTCCTCTCTTCTCTTCTCTTCTCCTCTCCTCTTCTGTTCTCTTCCCTTCCTCTCCTCTCCTCTCTTCCCTTCCCTTCCTTTCCCCTCTTCTCTTCTCTTCCGCTCCCCTCCCCTCTTCCCCTCCCCTCCCCTCCTTTCCTTTCCTCTCTTGCCTTCCCTTCCCTTTCCCTTCCCCTCCCCTCCTCTCCTCTCCTCTCTTCCCTTCCCTTCTCTTTTCTTCTCCTCTTCCCTTCCCTTCCCCTCCCCTCCCATCTTCTCTTATCTTCCCCTCTTCTCTTCTCTTTCTTCCTTCCGTCCTTCCTTTCCTCCTCCTCCTCCTTAAATCATTGTTTACAAATCTCAGTGTCCGGATTCATGCCATGCACCAAACCCTACTAACACACAACATAATTTAGGATTATATATATCAGCTCATTTTCTTCACCATCTTTTTCCTTTGATTTCCCTTTCTACCAACTTGGAGATTCTCCTGTACATTAATGATAGAAATTCTGGTAAAGAACTTGCAAGCTTCCTTGGTTTTCTATGGAAAGGAAAAATAAAGTTGGGTGTTCACCAATGCATCGATCATGTCAAACCTCCAGCCCATCTCAAATTCTGCCCAATGCCTCCAGTGAGTTCAGGGTGTTAATTAGTATGTGGAACAGTTCAATTTTTGAATGCCAGTCAGAATGAGTCATTATGTGACAATTTCAATAAATTCATTTTGTAATCTGTTTGAAAAGCAGAAGATTGTTCAAGAGTAACCTCTCTCTTTTTTTTATTACACACTTGTGCACTGAGTTGTTCTACAATTCACAGAATTCAGAATGTCAGTTCCAAAGAAATAAACTTTTTACAGCTTGGCTGTGAAGATCGTACAGAAGAAAGAATCATAATTTAATGGGATCTAAACTCTCGACTGCTTCACAGCTGTAGGACAAATATAATTAATATAACAATGTAAACCCAATTTTTCACACTGCGCAGTCTGATGTTTTAATTAAATTTGCCCTCGGCTTTATAGGAAAAGTGATATGAATATTACAAGAAATTCTGTTTCTGGTGATAAAAGAAAAAGTGACGAGAAAAAGGGAGAATAGAATTTCTGAGTGATCCAGCTGTTTGAAAATAATGACAATAAAGTCTTCTGATTTCTTAGTCCTTGACTTACAAATGAGCCCAAAATTCCTCTTGTTACGTGAGACATTTGTTAAGTCAGTTTTGCTCCATTTCATGACCTTTCTTGTCTCGGTTGTTAAGTGAATCACTGCAGTTGATAAATTAGCAATCCAGTTATTAAGCAAATCTGGCTTCCCCATTGACTTTGCTTGTTCAGACGGTCGCAAAAGGGGATCACACAACCCCGGGACGCCGCAACCGTCATAAATATGAACCCATTGCCAAGCGTCCGAATTTGATCATGTGACCATGAGGATTCTGCAATGGTTGTAAATGTGAAAAACGTCATAAGACACTTTTTTCAGTGCCGTTGTAACTTTGAACGGTCACTAAATGAACTTTTGTAAATTGAGAGTTACCTGTACTTAACCTTTAACCTCAGATACATAAGTAGGCTGTGCTGCACCTCACTGGACTTTCTTGCTTTGTTAAGAGAGAGAAAGAATGTACTATACTTCACTGTCGCTTGTTCTCTCCCTTCTGGGAATCCAGACTGCCTTCCACCACAGTGGATAGGCATTGAAAGACCTCAAATAGGAATACAATGATGGGAGATTTTTTATTATACTGTATTTTTCGGAGTATAAGATGCACTTTTTCCCCAAAAAAAGAGGGTGAAAATCTGGGTGCATCTTATACTCTGAATGTAGCCCCGCCCAGCTTCTCAAACGGAGGTTTCAGAGGCTGAAAAAAGAATCAGAAATGAAGCTTCAGAAAAGAAGCCCCCAAACAGAGCTTCAGAAGCTTTTTTTCTGAAGCTGTTTCGGAGGCTTTCAGAGGCAGGAAAAAAAGTTTTTTTCTGAAACAGAGTTTCAGAAGTTTCAGAGGCAGAAAAAAAAACAAAAAAAAAAAGCAAGGCACAGAGCTCACAACCAAGGAACCTGTTTCTAAAATTCACCTCTCGGAACAGCTGATTGGGAGTATTCCAGGAGGCTGATCCACTTGCCAATCAGCTTTTTTCTTATTTTCCTCCCTAAAAACTAAGGTGCATCTTATACTCTGATGTGTCTTATTCTCCAAAAAATATGGTAATTACTGTCCCACTGTATGCTGAAAATTGTAATAACAATGAATAATGCTATAGGTCATAGAATCCTAGTTGGAAGGGATTTAAGAGGACATGAAGTCCAACCCCCTTGGACACTACAGGATTCACTACACTCTCCCCAATAGATGACAATCCTACTTCTGTTTGAAAAGCTCCAGTGAAGGAGAAGGAATTCCCTACCTGTGATCACCTATTCCAATGGTATACAGGTAGTCCTCAAACTACAACCCCAATTGAGTCCAAAATTTCTCTTCTTTTTTAAAAAAATAAATTTTATGAATTTTCTATTAATTGCATTCCTTAGTGCTTAATAAACATCGTGCTGTCTGGGTATTTAATTTGCTTAACAATACAATACAGTACAATAGGTGGTGGTTTTTTTGTTTGTCTTTGTATTGTATTGTATTGTATTGTCTTTATATCTGTGTTTATATTTTAATAATAATAATAAAAAAAAACAAATTTACATTCTTACTCTCCACCCCTTTTTTCCAATCATTGGTAAAATAAATTCCAAGTTTGATCATATTCTGTGTCTTCTTTCTGTTTGATTTTCAATGTAAGTCTGTCCATTTCTGCACAGTCTAATATCTTCTTAATTATCTCTTCATTTGGTGGTGTTTCTTCATCTTCCAACATTGTGCGAAGATAATCCTCACTGCTGTTAAAACATGTCATATTAAATACATACTTCTCTTATCAAATTTTTCTGATATCATCCCTAATAAAAACTGTTCAGGTTTAAAATCTACATGTTTCCCTATTATCTTTTCTAGCCAGCTATTTATTTTTGCCCATTTTTTTTTAGCACAAATCCACCACATGTGATAATATGTGCCCGTCTTTTGATTACATTTCCAACATTTGCTAGATATATTTCTCTTCTTAAGTGAAACATTTGTTCAGTCAGTTTTGCCCCATTTTACAACCTTTCTCGCCCTAGTTGTTAAGTGATTCATTGTAGTTGTTAAGTTACTAACCTGGTTGTTAAGTGAACCTGGCTTCCCCATTGACTTTGCTTGTCAGAGGGTGTTCTGTCCCAGCTACAGATCCCAAAGAACACAGCACACACAAAGTTTGTACAAAACTTAATTTACTAAAATAACTCAGTCTTTTTCAAAACAAAGGCTGTTAATAAACTTTCTTAACAGCCTACAAGAAACCAAAGATAAAGTAATCACAATCTTATTAAGGTTGGCAGAAAGCCCAGAAGCAATTTGCAGAGAATCCAGACGCGAAGTAGAGTGAACTAAAGTTGTTCCCTACAAATTGCTTCAGTCGGTGTTCCTCCTTAAATAGGCTAAGGAGTGGCCAATTAGCCCCAAGCCTTACTCTCGAGGAGACCTCCTCGAACTGGTGGCGGCGGCAGGAGGCTCCGCCCACCCACACCAGACACTTCTAGGCATGCACAGAAGCTTCTACGCATGCACAGAAGCATCGTGCGCGCCCGCACGAGCGAACCAGTAGCAACAGGTTTTGCAACCCACTACTGAGGACAATACAACCGTCATAAATATGAACCAGTTGCCAAGCATCTGAATTTTGATCACGTGACCACAAGGACACTACAACAGTTGTAAGTGTGAAAAATGGTTCATCAGTCACTTTTTTCAGTGCCATTGTAACTTTGAACGGTCACTCAACGGACTGTTGTAAGTTGTATTGTACCCATTCTACGTCTTTTCTTTATAGGCGGTTCTCTGAACAACAGCAGCCGACGGCGGATTTCCTGTAAAGACTTGGGCCACGGTGACTGCGAGGGTTGGTTGTGGAAGAAGAAAGATGCCAAAGGTTACTTCACCCAGAAATGGAAAAAATACTGGTTTGTCCTGAAGGATTCTTCCCTCTACTGGTATACTAACCAAAACGTGAGTACCAAGCACAATTACAAGGAAGACAGAATCTGTAAACCAAATAAAAGAACTGGTCTGTTTTAACGGAGGAGAGTAAGGAAGCTGAGAAGATAGGAGAACCTTCCAATAAATGTAGGGCTTGGTCAACAGAGGCAGGCAGGATTTTAACGCAGACAAGTGTTTGAGCTGATAAATGAGGGATGAATGTCTTGCCAGACTTCTGCACCTAGTAGAGAAATGGACTACTAGAGAATGGAGCTGCCTCTTTCTTCACCCAATAAGAAATACGGTTTCAGTCCTTTTGTTGGGGTGTGTGTGTGTGTGTGTGTGTAGATAGATGAGAGAGAGAGAGATAAACAGATAGACAGAGGAGAGACACAGATAGACAAGATTAGATAGATAGATAGATAGATAGATAGATAGATAGATAGATAGATAGGGATGGATGGATGGATGGATGGATGGATGGAGATGGATGGATGGGCAGATTAAATGGATGGATGGATGGATGGATGGATGGATGGATGGGCAGATATAGATACATGGATGGATAGATAGATAGATAGATAGATAGATAGATAGATAGATAGATAGATACGGATGGACAGAGATGTATGAATGGGCAGATTAGATGGATGGATGCATGGATGTATGTATGGATAGATGGATGGATGGATGGATGGAGATGCATCGATGGGCAGAGATAGATAGATGATAGATTGATGGATGGATGGATGGATGGATGGATGGATGGATGGATAGATACTGTAGATAGATAGATAGATAGATAGATAGATAGATAGATAGATAGATAGATAGATAGATAGAGTGAGGGGGGGAGATCCATAATAATCATGTTTATCATTTTTTGGAGAAGGAAGGAATCAGGAAACTACAGACTCTAAGCATAAGCCATCCCAAATGTGAACTACACAGTGCAAACAATTTCACAGTAAACTTCTTTTAAATTAAACTAGGCTTATTTGAAGCCTTTTTTTTTTTCTTTTTAAATTTACACCACATAGAGTCACAAAATAATTCGGGAGTTGTTCTCAGTCAGAAAACAATTCCAAGGTTCCTGTAAAGCTTTTTTCTGACTTGTGCATTCTAAAAGATACGGCAGAGCTGTAAATCAGTGAGCTTAAATGCCTTTAATTCTGGTTTTGATTGTGGCCACGGCTTGCAGAAAGTCACATTAAACCGGCTTCAAAAGTCATATACCTCAAATGGAACTGAATCAGTGGTGAAATGTAAATTTTGTTACTACAGGTTCTGTGGGCGTGGCTTGGTGGTGGAGGGGTAATGTGACTGGGTGGATGTGGCCAACTTTTTTTTTTTTACTTTTTTAAAGTGTTTTTTTACAACCTATTCGGGCAAATAGGTTGTTAAAAATGCTTTTAAAAGGTTAAAAAAAAGGCTCTGACGATCACAGCTGTGCCGCGTGATTCTTCAGACCCTTTTTTTTTTACCTTTTAAAAGCAGGAAGTAACGACACCCAGGCCAGTGGGCGGAGCCTCGCACCGCCATCACTACCGGTTCTCCAAACCAGTGGTGGGTTGCCCCCGGTTCGCACCGGTTCTATAGAATTGGTAGTAAAACCGGCGGGAGGCTCCGCCCACCGATTCCAACGTCATCAGAACGCTTCTGCGCATGCGCAGAAGAGCACACGGCCCTGCTGCGAACCGGTAGTAAAGGTAAGTAGACCCCACCCCTGCTACGAACTACCTGCCTCAATCGCTACCGGATCACCCGATCCGGTCCGAACCGGGAGCGTTTCACCCCTGAACTGAATGCCATTATGGTTCCATATTCCTGAGCATAATGTGGTTATTAATAGAGACTGAAAATTAACCCTTTTCCCCCTAAAGTGCTTAGGATTTAAAGGCCATCTTCAAACAGAATTTGCCCCAGCTACAGCATGTTCGGTGATCTGGCAACCTAATTAACTGTAATGGAAGGGAGATATTCTCTGCCAACCTTGATTCTGTCTCAGCGGTATTTTCTCATTCCTCCAATCACAGGATGAAAAAGCAGAAGGATTTATCAGTTTACCGGAGTTCAGAATAGACAGAGCAATCGAATGCAGAAGGAAACAGTAAGTACTACGAACCAGAATCACCCGCAAAATAGAGATACGTGTAGCTTACAGACCCAACGAATCTGTTTGTGCTTTATGGAAAATTGTGCAAAGCTGCTTTTTTTTAGGGGTGCAATTCCAGGATCATCAAATTTGAAGGAGTTTCAAATTTGAAAGCTAGCACTGATGATGTTACTTAGTTTGGGTCATGAAATGTTTGCAAGAAAACAACCAAGCTCAGAGAACACCAAGGATCCCACAGTCCTCCCCCTCCTCCTCCTCCTCCTCCTCCTCCTCCCTTCTAGCACTGATGATGTTACCTAGTTTGGATTCATTTAACAGCTGCATTCCTAACTTAACAACTGCAGTGATTCACTTAAGTGTTGTGGCCGGAAAAGTTGTAAAATGAGGCAAAACTCATGTCTCACTTAAGGAACAGAAATTTTGGACTCAGTTATACTCCTAAGTCAAGGACTGCTTGCAGAGGTGGGTTTCACATAATTTTACTACCTGTTTGCCACGCACCAAAAATGTGAGCGCGCGCCTTCCGCGGCATTTAGCATAGCACCGGTTTGGACTGGTTCGTCCAAACCGGTCTGAACCGGCTGAATACCCCCACTGCTTACTTGTATATGCTGGTGCACATGTAGAAATTTACGACGAAGATTTATGATGAAGTGAGACACAATGAGGATTTTTCCAAGGACTCTGTCATGGGAGATTGGGTGCTTGGATGAGTCTGGACTGAAGCTGCCCTCTTCCAATGCTGGACTCCACAGCTTAAGTGGACTCCAGCATTTGAAGGGACAGCTTCAGTCCATATTAAGGCAAGCACCCAATCTCCCTTGACAGAGACCTTGGAAAAAATCCTTATTTTGTCTCGCTTCATTTAACTGGTCTTGTCTGCCATCTAGCGGATTTTAATTGCTGAAGTCCCTTCGAGACCTGTATTTTTATCGTGGTCTCTCCCAGTGTTCCTCAATCCTGGCGGCTTTAAGAAGTGTGGACTTCAACTCCCAGAATTCCCAGCTGGGATTCCGTTCAAAGCCACTGGAAATGTTGCGTTTCTCTGCAGAATTATAGGCCGTGTCTGAATCTCACGCAAGGAGCATAATTTGATGCTTACCTGCTTACTAAATACCTCCTATGATATCAACAAGGAAGATAGCTTGATAGTTTGAAGATAACTGAATAATGATAGACTGTAACCTAATGTAGATGTATATTGTTATTAGAAATATGTAAGTTGATTGAATGCAACAATAATGTTTAATCCGATCAGTTTCATACGTATTGGAATGTATGGTGCCCAGGTGCCACGCTGTTCACACATAGATTTGACATTTTTATTAAAAAAATTAAAAAACTTGGAAAAATAAAAACAAGGAACATATGTCCATAGACCACATGAAATCTGTGCTTGCTACCTTTGGAAATTTTGCTAATAGGTGCCTAAATCCATGCCCTTATTGTCAATTTTTGAGGTAGTCCAGACGAAGAATAGAATAGAATAGAATAGAATAGAATAGAATAGAATAGAATAGAACTCCGTGAATTGTATATCAAAAGATCTTGATATACCTGGTTACCACCAAATTCAAATAGTAACTTGACTTCAGGAATAGCCAGTTTAGTTTGGTGGTTAAAGCATTGGGTTAGAAAGCAGGAGACTTTGAGTTCAAGCCCCACTTTAGGAATGAAAGCCGGCTGGGTGACTTTGGGTCAACCACCGGGAGACTGGGAGTTCTAGTCCCACTTTAGGCATAAAAGCTGGCTGGGTGACTTTGGGCCAACCACCAGGAGACTGGGAGTTTAGTCCCACCCCAGGCATGAAAGCTGGCCGGGTGACTTTGGGTCAACCACCAGGAGACTGGGAGTTCTAGTCCCACCTTGGGCATAAAAGCTGGCCGGGTGACTTTGGGTCAACCACCAGGAGACTGGGAGTTCTAGTCCCATTTTAGGCATGAAAGCTGGCTGGGTGACTTTGGGCCAACCACCAGGAGACTGGGAGTTCTAGTCCCACCAGGCATGAAAGCTGGCCGGGTGACTTTGGGTCAACCACCAGGAGACTGGGAGTTCTAGTCCCACCTTGGGCATAAAAGCTGGCCGGGTGACTTTGGGTCCAACCACCAGGAGACTGGGAGTTCTAGTCCCACCTCAGGCATGAAAGCCAGCTGGATGACTTTGGGTTAGTCACTCCCTCTCAGCCCAACCCAGCTCACAAGATTGTTGTTGTGGGGAAAATAGGAGGAAGGGGCATTGCGTGTGTTCACCGCCTTGAGTTATTTGTAAAAAAGAAGAAGAAGAAGAAAGGGATACAAATAAATAAATACAATATAAATAAAAGTTAGTAGAATTGGACAACTTGCTGTCATATTAATAGACGCCAAATTTTCTTGTTTCTTCTTCTTCTTCTTTTAAATTGTTTTTATTATGCATTTTCTTCTGTTATACGTAACGTTTCCATTTCTGTAACGTTCGTGTACTGTCTGTATCAAATCTCTTTTAAATGCATATAGTTTTATATACACCATAATTATAATCATTTTTCTCATAATACATACAATGTAATCTTCTCTTCTAATCACCCTATACAATTTAATCTATAATCAAGTATAATCCAGTGATAATATTGCTTATGGTATTATTGCTAATATATATATTTACTTTTATTTTATTGATTGCCCTTAATTATAAATTACTAACTTCTGCTTCTATTTTCTAACCATTTATAAAATAGGTCCCAAGTTAAATAGTACTCTTGTTTCCTCTGTATCCTTAATTTTCATCGTTAACCTGTCCATTTCGGCACTGTCTAATATTTTCTTTATTCAATGCCTGGAATGCACTACCTGACTCTGTAGTTTCTCCCCCAAACCCCCAAAATTTTAACCTTAAACTATCTACTGTTGACCTCACCCCATTCCTAAGAGGTCTGTAAGGGGCATGCATAAGAGCACTACCATCCCTGTCCTAATGTCCTTTTTTACTCTTACTCTTTTCATGTATTCAAATTATGTTTATACTTTTACCTGTTATCTTATATATGCTTGACAAATAAAACTTATGGTTATGATTTATTACATTTTCATCTTTAGGTATATTTTCGTTTTTCCAATTTTGTGCATACATAATTCTCACGGGCGTTATCACATGTAATATTAAGTGTGTAATTCTTTTATTATACTTTCCTTGTAATATACCCAGCAAGAACAAAAATCTATTTGTTGCATTGTCATTTCTTCTAACCACCTTTTTATCTTTAACCAATATTTTTTTTGCCGTTGGACAGGTCCACCACATATGGTAATAGGAACCCGGTATCTGTTTGTATTTCCAGCACTCTGGCGATACATTTTGGAGTATCTTTGCCATTCTTGCTGGTGGCAAATGCCATCTGTAGAACGTTTTGTAAAGGTTTTCTTTATATGTTGTTGAATTTGTTAGTTTGTAGTTTCTTTCCTGAAGTTTTTGCCAATTGTCTAATTCTATAGTATATGCGAAGTTTTTGGCCCATATTATCATAGTTTCTTTCACATGCTCTTCTTCCACTTTAAAGTTCAATAAGTAGCTATATATTTTCTTTATTGGTTTATCATCTGTCCCTAGAAATATCTTCTCTCTCCTCTCCTCCTAGTGCTTTCAAGGCTTGCCACCCCAAAATCAAGAGCTTCTACTTTGCAACGGACTGCCTGGAAGAAATGAACCGGTAAGTTGCTCTGGGATTCTGCATCAGAATCCCATGGGAGTTGGGCAGCATAGAAATGTGATAAATTAAATTAAATTAAAATCAGGTGAGGAGAACGGAATAATAGAGTTGGAAGGGACCCTGGAGGTCTTCTAGTCTAACCCCTTTTCTCAGGCAGGCAACCCTATACCATGTCAGACAAATAGTCATCCGTGATTTACTCTGATATGACTCTGATATGTATTTTTTTAAAAAAAAATTTGATTTATATGCCGCCCTTCTCTGGAGACTCAGGGCGGCTTACAATGCGCTAAGCAATAGCCTTCATCCTTTTGTATATTTATACAAAGTCAGCTTATTGCCCCCACAACTGGGTCCTCAATTTACCTACCTTAGAAAGGATGGAAGGCTGAGTCAACCTTGAGCCTGGTGAGATTCGAACCTGCAGTAATTGCAGGCAGCTGGTCTTAATAACAGGGTGCTTTAGACCACTGTACTACCAAGGCTCTGTATTTGGGGATAGAGCAAGAGAACAGAAGAATGTTATCTTCACATACTTATGTTGAAATTCCCACTGCTATGAGCAGATATATTGGAAGAAATGTCCATCTGGGTTCAGTTCCAAGTGGGGAGAAAGACACTGGAAACATGATGGCTGTTTGGAAAGATGGTTTTTAATGATGGACCTGACCACATGGTTTGAGGTCCTGGACAAAAAAAGCACATGGTTGAGAGAGAGAGAGAGAGAGATTTATACAGCTTTGAATTTGAGCTTGTATTCTGATTGGTTGTCAGACTCCCATGGGGTCATGCAGGGGTAACTTTGTAAGTTGCCTGTGTCCCAGGCTTGGTTGAGCCTTGCTGGGTGATGATGTAATGAAAGGGCTTTGGGCAATTCCTACTGTGGCTCTGCCTGAAGGAGGTAGATCTTTGTTATGTAGAATAGACTGGCCTTAATGGCCCATTGAGAAAGGGGTGGGGCGCTGAGTTTCTGCCTCCCTTTTAGGGGAAATATTCTGCCCTTTTAATATTTCCTAAAATATCTCATTTTCCTAGGAGACGGGTGGGTGCTAACTTCCTACAGTACAACATGAGTATTTTACTGCCCTTGACAGCAGGAATGGACTAACACTGAGGTTAAGAATACCAATCAGAAAGCAGCACCCAGGAATATTTATTTCCTGGGTTGTATTTAAAGGTGTATCAAAGAGTTGTGAAATGGGAAACTTCACATTGTGCTTCGGGATTATCCGTCTGCAGCCAGCCCGCCAAATGTTGCAGAATGCAATTTCCCAACTTCTAAGTCAAACCCTGTTAAAGATGAGAAAAAGTAGGAGAGTACTAGGAGCATATAAAGTTGAGTAATTAGTTGAAATTGAATAAATAACACAGAAATTGAATGAATGAATGAAAATTTAAAACCGTTATCATCACCAGCAACTTCAAATTTTCCACTCACTGCTTATAATATAAGAAGGGTTTAAGGCCATCGGAACCCATTTCTCTTTTTAAAAATCTTTCAATAGATGGATGAACCGTCTAGGTTTGGCTGCCATTGGTTACACACCTGATGACAAGGATATTCGGGCAGATGAAGGTGAGGTTCTTTTCCTGATGGCAATAGAATAGAATAGAATAGATAGAGTAGAATAGAATAGAATAGAATAGAATAGAATAGAATAGAATAGAGAATAGAATAGAATAGAATAGAATAGAATAGAATAGAATAGAACAGGAGTAGAGTAGAGTAGAGTAGAGTAGAGTAGAGTAGAGTAGAGTAGAGTAGAGTAGAGTAGAGTAGAGTAGAGTAGAGTAGAGTAGAGTGGATAAGGGACACAGTGGCTCAGTGGCTAAGATGCTGAGCTTGTCGATTGAAAGGTCGGCAGTTCAGCGGTTCGAATCCCTAGTGCCATGTAACGGGGTGAGCTCCCGTTACTTGTCCCAGCTTCTGCCAACCTAGCAGTTCGAAAGCATGTAAAAAATGCAAGTAGAAAAATAGGGACCACCTTTGGTGGGAAGGGAACAGCGTTCTGTGCACCTTTGGCATTTAGTCATGCCGACCACATGACCACGGAGACGTCTTTGGACAGCGCTGGCTCTTCGGCTTTGAAATGGAGATGAGCATCACCCCCTAGAGTCGGGAACGACTAGCATGTATGTGCGAGGGGAACCTTTACCTTTACTAGAGTAGAGCAGAGCAGAGCAGAGCAGAGCAGAGCAGAGCAGAGCAGAGCAGAACAGAACAGAACAGAACAGAACATTTTATTTCGTCAAGTGTGATTGGGCACATAAGGAATTTGTCTCCGGAGCATAAGTTCTCCATGTACAGGCAAAACAGCAGAGTAATAATCATAATAATGATACCAATAAGAGAAGGTAGTAGAAAAGAGGAAAAGGGTAATAGCAATACAGCCATACTACATGGGTAAATCTACTTAGACATAAGAAAATGCTCTGGGAATTAGTTGTTCAAAAGAGGCGGATGAAAATATTGGACTTCTTTGCAGCCTTTGGGAAACCTTGCCTAGCAAAGCATACATTTCCGAACAAAACGAACATCTTTTTTTAAAGCAGATTATTGGAGTGAAAGTGACCAGGAAGATGTTGACAACTCCTTAATGCTGAAGCAAGAAGGACCCATTGTGCTTTGTGATTCCTACCACCGGACCCCCTCGGTGAGTCCAGAAAGTTGTGAAATGCAAACCTTTTGAATTTCACCCTGCATTTTCTTTTCTTACTTTTTTTCCCCCTCTCCCTTCTTGGATGTCCCAAAGGTGCCTTTTTCCCAAAGGCAACTGGACTTTCTTGGTATTTTTGTTTGAAAATCTTTTGTTTTTCACCCAAGAAATTTCTTCTGTTCTAGCTCTGTTAGAACTCAAGAAGTTTCTTGGATGAGAAGCAAAATGTTTTCAATCAATCAATCAATCAAAGGAAGGAAGGAAGGAGGGAGGGAGGGAGGGAGGGAAGGAAGGAAGGAAGGAAGGAAGGAAGGAAGGAAGGAAGGAAGGAAGGAAGGAGGGAGGGAGGGAGGGAGGGAGGGAGGGAGGAAAGGAAGGAAGAAAGGGAGGGAGGAAAGGAAGGAAGGAAAAGAAGGGAAGGAAGGAAGGAAGGATGGAAGAATGGAAGGAAGGAAGGAGGGAAAGAGGGAAGGAAGGGAAGGAAGGAAGGAAAGGAAAGAAAGGAAGGAAAGGAAGAAAGAAGGAGGGAGGGAGGGAGGAAAGGAAGGAAGGAAGGAAAAGAAAGGAGGAAGGAAGGAAAGAGGGAAGGAAGGAAGAAGGAGGGAGGGAGGAAAGGGAGGAAGGGAGGAAAAGAAGGAAGGAAGGAAGGAAGAAGGAGGGAGTGAGGAAAGGAAGGAAGGGAAAAAAAGAAGGAAGAAAAAAGGAAGGAAGGAAGGAAAGAGGGAAGGAAGGAAGAAGGAAAGGAAGGAAGAAAGAAGCAGGGAGGGAGGAAAGGAAGGAAGGAAGAAAAAGAAGGAAGGAAAGAAGGATGGATGGAAGGATGGAAGGAAGGAAGAAGGAAAGGAAGGAAGGAAGAAGCAGGGAGGGAGGAAAGGAAGGAGGGAAGGAGGGAAGGAGGGAAGGAAGGAAGGAAGGAAGGAAGGAAGGAAGGAAGGAAAGAAGGAAGGAAGGAAGGAAGGAAGGAAGGAAGGAAGGAAGGAAGAAAGCCATTGCCTTTTTGGAAAAAGCAGCTTTGGAACAACCATAACCTGGATGATGGAGAATCTCCATGGAAACTCTTTCTGGATGTGTGTTGGGAACCTAAAACCAACGGTCAACTGGATGTAACAGAGATAATAGATTTCAGTAAGAGATATCCTGTTACCAACATGGAAGCAACTCTGCAAGAAGCAGTAGCAATAGCAATAGCACTTAGACTTATATACCGCTTCCCAGTGCTTTTACAGCCCTCTCTAAGCGGTTTACAGAGTCAGCATCTGGCCCCCAACAATCTGGGTCCTCATTTTACTCACCTCGGAAGGACGGAAGGCTGAGTCAACCTTGAGTCTGGTGAGATTTGAACAGCCAAATTGCAGGCAGCCGGCAGTCAGCAGAAGTAGCCTGCAGTGCTGCACACTGCGCCACCACAGCTCAGTAACAGCCTATTGAGAAAAAGAAAGGGATTTACCTTTGAAGAGTCCATCTTGTATGGTCCCAACTGTGGTGAAATCCAATTTTTTTTACTACCGGTTCTGTGGGCGTGGCTTGGTGGGTGTGGTATGGCTTGGTGGGTGTGGCTTGGTGGGCATGGCAAGGGAAGGATACTCCAAAATCTCCATTCCCTCCCCACTCCTGTGGGAAGGATATTGCAAAATCTCCATTCCCATCCCACTCTGAGGCCAGCCAGAGGTGGTATTTGCCGGTTCTCCGAACTACTCAAAAATTCCACTGCTGGTTCTCTGAACTGCTCAAAATTTCCGCTACCGGTTCTCCAGAACCTGTTAGAACTTGCTGGATTTCACCCCTGGTTAGAGCGTCTTTCCATAACTATATCTTACAATGGGGTGTTTTGTTTATTTTTAGATGAATTCTTCGAGTCCATTCCCTGAGCCCAAACATGGCCGTCACTTCTCCAGTGAATCAACCTATTCCCATTCGTCTGCAGAAGAATCCCGACAGGACCCAGCAGGGAACACTCACTCTGCCGGAGGTTCTAGACCCCCCTACAGAGAACGGCGTTCATGGCAGGATCTTATAGAGACTCCGTTGACCAGTTCGGGACTCCATTTTCTCCAGACGGTTCCTACTGATTCAGACTATGTGAACGAGAGATTCGGGGTGTCCCCGGAGAGGCGGCGACAAGCCACCTTACCCGTCCAGAGACGCCACAACCACGATCAGGATGGTCCTTTCCCATTGGTCGAGTGCTACAAAGGTCAGAGTTCTCACTCCAGGCCCCAGAAGCAAAGAAGTCAAAGCCTTCCACGAAATCGCGATGTCCGCATCAAAGGGCGAGTAAAAACGAGTGGGATCTCCGAAGAGCGGTCGGAGGAGGAATTGGCCATCAAAAAGCCGAGTAACTTGGGTGAAGATGGTAAGAGGTTAAAATAACTGGACTCCTGATAGTGTGAGTGATGGAAGCGATGCAGGGGTGAAATCTAAAATTTGTTACTACCGGTTCTGTGGACGTGGCTTGGTGGGGGGTGGTGAGGGTAATGTGACTGGGTGGGCGTGGCCAATTTTTTTTTATTTATTTACTTTTAAAACCATTTTTTTCTACAACCTCTTCGGCGAACAGGTTGTAAAAAAAATGCTTTCAAAAGACTCTGACGATCCCAGCTGAGTTGCCTGATCGGCAGAGACTTTTTTTCTTTTAAATGCCTCTAATGATCAGGCAACTCAGCTTGGATCGTCAGAGGCATTTAAAAGAAAAAAAGGGTTTTTTTCTTTTAAAAGCCTTTGACGATCCCAGCTGAGCCGCGCGATCATCAGAGGCTTTTTTTTTTACTTTTAAAAGCATTTTTTCGGCCGAAGAGGTTGTAGAAAAAATGCTTTTAAAAGTTTTTTTTAAAAAGCCTCTGATGATTGTGCGGCTCAGCTGGGCAATGGGGGGGGGACGCAGGAATTTTTGCTACCGGTTCTCCGAACTACCCGACTCCATCGCTACCAGATCAGGCAATCAGGTTCGAACCGGGAGCATTTCACCCCTGAAGCGATGAAGCTCAATCGAGCTTCTGCTCCTTAGGCAGGTCAAAACATGGCATCTCCAAGACAGGAAGAAGAACTACAAGAGGTTTCTATATGACAGTGATGGCGAGCCTTTTCGGCACCGAGTCCCCAAACTGGAACATGCGTGCATGCGCATGTATGTGCGTGTGTGCATGTGACGAAGCACCAGAAACCTGAAGACCAGCACGCATGCCTCCAGTTTGCCCATTTTTGGCTGTTTTTTGGCTGCCCTCCCTGGAAAAAAAAAGTTTTTGCCCTGCCCGGCCCTCAGGAACACTCTGCAGGCCTCCCAAACCCTCTGCGTGTCCAGGTTTTTGCAAAAATGGGCAAAAAGGGGGCCATTTTTTTCAAAAACAGGGGCATTTTTGCCCTCCCTCAGCTCCCAGGAGCACTCTGAGGGCCGGGGAGGGCAAAACTTTTTTTTTTCTTACTTACCTCTTCGAAATCTTGGTGCGTCTTATACACCGGTGCGTCTTATAGTCCGAAAAATACGGTACATGATTGCCATTCCCAGTCAGCTTTGGACAAGCAAAATCAATGGGAGACATTCCTTAACAATTGCATGATTCCCTTAACGTGGGCAGAAAAAGGTCATAAATTTGGCCATAACTCACTTAACAATCACCTTGCTTAGCAATGGAAATTCTGATCCCAATTGTGGTCGTAATTTGAGGACTGATTGTAGACAATGGGACCTTAAGTCTAGATTGTAATTGCGTGACACTGTCAGTGACTTCAAATAGGATGTTTGAAATGTATTAAGAGCCAGCTATAGCTCTGAAATTCTGTTGTTTGGTTTAGTTCATTCCCAAACTTCATGTAGGTTGGAAAATGGCTCTTTAATAGGATTTATTTTTACATTTCATTGGGATTAAACAGAGATAGCAATAGCAATAATACTTAGACTTACATACTGCTTCACAGTGCTTTACAGTCCTCTCTAAGTGGTTTACAAAGTCAGTATATTGCCCCCAAAAATCTGGGTCCTCATTTTACCAACCTCGGAAGGATGGAAGGCTGAGACAACCTTGAGCCAGTCAGGATCGAACTGCTGGCAGTGGGCAGAGTTAGCCTGCAATACTAGCATTCTAACCACTGCGCCACCATGGCTCTTATTTACACAATATTCATCTGCACAATAAAGATTACGCCTTTACCTTTGCCTGTTCCCCTTCACTATAACTATATCTAGCTCCTAAAGCAAGTTTGCTTCTCTTTAGAAAAAGTAGAAGAACGAAGGAAGAGCACAGATGGTCTTCACGAACTCTACAAGACTTTGGAACAAGCCAGCTTGTCAGCCTTTGGAGAGCAACGTCCTTCCACCAAGCAGGAATTCCGGAGGTCCTTCGTAAAGAGATGCAATGACCCTGTCATCAATGAAAAGTTGCATCGCATCAGAGTACTCAAAAGTACTTTAAAAGTAAGAACACGGTATCCCTGTAGTAGATTCAGTGAAAGGGGCTGTAGCCAGGGGTGGGCTGTTGGGTGTTCGCAGGGAGAACCTCTAACTAAGATTCTGTGCAGTTCAGAGAACCCCAAAATCCCACTCCTGGCTGGACCCGTCCACCCCGCCCCACCCCACTCAGGAGTCCCCACGCGGCCTGTTTTGGATGCAGGTAAGTGCAGGGCACGTGCGGAGGCTCGGGGAAGGTGAAAAACAGGCCTACCGGATGTTTGGGAAGGCCAGAAATAGGTCCGTTTCTGGCCTACAGAATGTCTCTGGAGCCTGGGGAGGCGCAGAGTGTGGCCGCGCGGGTGGTTATGGGAGCAACGTGGAGTTCCCATGTAACACCTCTCCTGTGCGAGCTGCACTGGCTCCCGGTGGTCTTCCGAGTGCGCTTCAAGGTGCTGGTTATCACCTTTAAAGCGCTCCATGGCTTAGGACCTGGTTATCTACGGGACCGCCTGCTACCACCAATAGCCTCCCACCGGCCAGTACACTCCCATAGAGAGGGGCTCCTCCGGGTGCCGTCGGCCAAACAATGTCGACTGGCGGCCCCCAGGGGGAGAGCCTTCTCTGTGGGGGCACCTACGATCTGGAACGAGCTCCCCCCGGAGATACGGAGGATCCCGGATCTGCGCACCTTCCGTCGCGCACTTAAGAATTTTCCTATTCCATCAAGCTGGCCTGGCCTAAATCTTCTCCCCTTTTTAAACGTAAATTTTTAAATGTAAATTTTAATTTGTTTTAAATTGTGGGGTATTTTAAATTCAGCCAAATTATTTAATTCGTTTTTAATTCATTTTAAATTTTTGTATTTATGTGTTTTATCTCGTGGCTGTTCACCGCCCTGAGTCCTTCGGGAGAAGGGCGGTATAGAAATTTAATAAAATAAAATAAAATAAATAAATAAAATAAATAAAATTTTCACCCTCCTGGAGGCTTGGGAAAAGCCTCCAGAGCCCGGGGAGGGCAAAAACGCCCCCCCCCCCCGGCCATGGTGCAGGAAGCCGACTAGGCCATGCCTACCATGGCCATGCCCACCCAGCAACTGGGTAGAGAACCCCTTGCTAAAATTTTTGAAGCCCACCCCTGGCTGTAGCTTGTTATAATAACAACTGAGATTTTTTTCTACTTCTGAATCAGAGGAATGTAGAAAGGCCAATTCTCCATCTAATGACCATCTCTAGATCCAAACCAGGAGAAGGCCAATTTGAACCATGAATGTTCACAAGACCTTCATTCAAAGAGTGAAAGAGCATATCTATCATCACATCACAAGATCTTCCTCTAACGGCCTGGGTGAAACATCACAACACCAAGCCAGAAAAGGGCAAAACTTGAGCATGAAGAATCAGGATCACACATAAGTTCCAGTTCAGAAGATTTATTGCTGAAACCTATACACAAGAATCTGGTCAACTAACGTAGAATACTAAATTGGGGCATGATAAGTATTGAGGAATTTGCAGAGCAACCCTTGAGTAGCAAGGGTGTGCACATGAAAAGCAATTGAGAGTAGTTAGGAAATAACACAGCCAACACACAGATACACTGAGTTGTGTTTACTTTCAGGAAATAGTAATAAGGCACAGTCCAATAAACAGTCCAGGTCATTCACAGATAAAGCGGTAGATAGTAAAACAATAGTCCAAGGATAATCCAATCACAAAGTCTTCTTACCAGTCATTGTAGTCATACATGATAAACAGTTGCAAACAGTAGCAAACACAGCAAAATGCAGTAAAGAGCACACAGCAAGCAGCAAAGATATCAGCAAAGAGAAAAATAAACTAGGTTTCTAGCTCCCTCTTAAGGACATTGGCTACAGAGCTAACCAATCAGGACACAGTATGATGCAATACAGCAATACAGCAGTCTTAAAGCTATATTCATGGTTTATATATTGCCAACCCAACAAGTTAGGTAAAATCATTTCCTAACAATAAGGGTCAACAGAATTCAAGAGGGGTTGGACTTGTAACATTAGTGGGAATGTAATGACTCTAGGCTATTGATTCACTTGACTCCACCTTCCAGCTCTACCTCCTCTTTTCCTTCACATAATGACTTGATGCTGCTTTCATCATTCTGCTTGCTTCTCCCACCCATTTCTCCCCAGACACTGTTGATTTCACCCCAAATGGATCTAAATGTTTGATTCAATCCATTCTTTTATCCTTGCTGTGTCAACTTAATCTCATTCCTCTACATTTTTTCCCACCCACTCCCTTTTCCTTATGTTTTATTGCAAAGTTGAAGGGAGGGGTTTTCAACCTTCAGAGATAGCATCAAGACAAAACTAAAGTTCAGAATTAAATGAATAATAATGAACCATAAATCATGCACACGTCAAAAAAAACAAACCCTGATTAGATCATGTAGCGTCAAGAATGCAGCTAGCTGGAGGGCTTCTCATGCTACTGCTATTCACGGTGGAGTGATTAAGCTATTATTTCTTTTCTTCTTTTAATGAATTCTTTTTTTTTCCTGCTAAGATAAAGATGGAAAATACGAAGCACGCTAAAAAAAATCAAGGAAACTTCTGAAATCCTTGTGAAATCCCACAAATGAGGCAGTGTGGTTGCATCAGGGAGAGCCAGTTTGGTGTAGTAGTCAAGACACTGGGCTAGAAACCGGGAGAGTATGAGTTCTAGTTCTGCCTCAGACAGGAAGCCAGCTGGGTGAGCTGAAGCTCTCCCATTTAGTTCCACATAATTTCTAGAGTACCGTATTTTTCGGAGCATAAGACACACTTTTTTCCCTCCTAAAAGAGGCTGAAAATTTGGATGGGTCATAATACTCTGAATGTAGCTTTTTCAAAGCTTTTTTTTCAGCCCTAATGAGGCGCTAGCGATCTGCTCCCTCCGACTCTCAGCTGTTCTTTAGAAGCTTTTTTTCAGTGAAGCTTTTGCCTGCTCCCTCCAACTCTCAGCTGGAGCTTTTCAGCTGGACTCTGAAGCCTTTTTTCAGCCCTAAAGAGGCGCTAGCGATCTGCTCCCTCTGACTCTCAGCTGTTCTTTAGAAGCTTTTTTTCAGTGAAGCTTTTGCCTGCTCCCTCCGACTCTCAGCTGGAGCTTTTCAGCTGGACTCTGAAGCTTTTTTTCAGGCCTAACGAGGCGCTAGCGAGTGAAGCACTTTGCCTGCTCCCTCCAACTCGCAGCTGTGAAGTTTTTTTTCAGCCCTAAGGAGGCACTAGCGAGTGAAGCGATCTCCGTGGTTTGCCTGCTTTTCTCATTGCTTTTCTCTCCAAAGATCAGTTGTGCTTTAGAAGCTGTTTTTTAATCCCCAAGCAAGAGATAAAAACCAGCAAACTAATGTGCTGAAGCTGACCACACTAAGGACGCTAGCCAGATGAATACCTAGTAGGCAGATTCCCCCCCCCCCATTTTCCTCCCCAAAAACTAAGCTGCGTCTTTTCCTCCGAAAAATACGGTATGTTGTTCCTAGGATTGATTTTTCCATCTGAAATGTTCTCTTTTTCTGACAGGCCAAGGAAGGAGATCTGGCCATGATCAACAGCTTGCTCCACGAACCTAACTTGACGTCCAAGAAATTCAAAGAATGGAAAACAAAGAACTATGAGTTTTTTCTGGACATTTGTGAGTACAGCGGTGCTTTGAAAGCCCAGAACGGAGCTTCTGAACTCACCATTACGGCCTCTCTGCTCTCACACACACATTCCTTCATCGAAACCCACGTCTGACCACGCGAGGGATTGTCGAAGGAGGGCGGAGAGCAACCGGAGGGGTGGAGGGGGGTGGTGGATGATCCCTTGTGACAAAACACTGTAACCCGTGTCAATAATGTATCCAGCTATATTGTAAATAGATTGGATAAGAATTTAGTACCATCGGATGCCTACTGCATTGCATGATCAGACAGATTTCTTTATTTATTTTTTACTCCCCTTTTCTGGAATTATTTTGGGTTAGTTTTCCAATTCTGCTTTAGTAAGAAGCAGCGTAGAAGGACAAACGGGCATCAAATGACACAAAACTGCAGTATATTTATAAAACGCCAGTATACTTACCCGTATTAAAAAACAAACAAACATTGGAGTTTAGTCCACAGGATTCCTCTTTCTTTTATATACGTAGATATATTGCACCTGCTCATATCTATGTATATAAAACGGAACGTGAAAGCTGAGGTTTTATTTTTTTAAAATATTTCCAGATGTCCATCCTCATAAATTTCCCTCCCCTCCTTTTTTTTTTTCCTCTTAAGAGTGGAGATTTTAAATATGAAAAAGAGGGGAGGGGAAGAGTAAAAAAGAAAGAAAAGAAAGGAGTCATCATTCCTAGGGAAAGAGGGTTCAGCATTTCCAAGAAACAACCGGGATCGTGAAATATAAAGAGAGCTTGGCGAAGTCTAGAAACGGAAAAGTTAAATTTCCCCCCTCACCCCTTTTTTGGCGTGCCTTAAAGTATACAGCATTTATCCAAGAAAACCACTTGCTTTCCGCTTGAGCCTCTCCGGGCTCCAACCGGTACACGCTGTCGAAATGCTGTGCTATTTTTACAAAACTGTGCCTGCTTTTCAGAAGATTGACCCAAGATGCGTGCGCGAGGGTGTGTGCGCACTTACACACCCGTACGTTAATATGTGACAGAGAAGAAATTAAGGTACAAAAAAACTGTTCGGGAGCAGGATCGCGCGAACTGCAGCTTCTGCTCACCTTCTGGGCCGTCGCAAGTCGGGGCCGAGAACATAAATAATCCGTAGTTTCTGGAAATCGGTAGCTATTCCGGGTGTCAGCAATTGTCCACTGTGAATTGAAAGCCAGAAACCTACCGACAGCAAAATTCTGATCTTGTCTTTTTTGCAGCCTCAAGACAGAATAACAAAAAAAGGCGGCCAGACTGAACACCGATGGCTTTCTATATTTACACTGTGCTATTGAATAAAGATCCTCAGATTTCTGATTTGAGAACCTTTGCAATAAAAGAAACCTACATCCTGTCGAGGCATTATCACTGAACAGGGAATTCAATGCCAGTAAGAAACATGGGTTCTCCTAATCACTCCTAATCCTTCTGAACCTGCCTCGTTGAGCAGGAACTCATTGTCCATCTCATGTTCATTGAAAAACAAGTGGAAGTCTCAATATGTTCAGGAACAGTACTACTTCTGTTGTTAGTTGCGAAGTCGTGTCCAACCCATTGCGACCCCATGGACAACAGGTCTTCCTGTCCTCTACCATCCTCTGGAGTCCATTTAAGCTCACGCTGACTGCTTCAGTGACTCCATCCAGCCACCTCCTTCTCTGTTATCCCCTTCTTCTTTTGTCCTCAATCTTTTCCCGCATTAGGCTCTTCTCCAGTGAGTTCTTCCTTCTCATTAGGTGGTCAAAAGTATTTGAGTTTCATCTTCAGGATCTGGCCTTCTAAAGAGCGGTCAGGACTACCGGTAATAATAATAATAAACAAATCTCTGCCCTGCAGATGTTGCTGGGTTGCAATTCATATTGTTCTCCAAAACCGGAGCTCGCCAAGGATCCATCCTAAAAGTTTCTACTCAACTTTCAAGGAAGTAGGAGTAGAAAACTCTTGCATACCTCATTGCCCAACATGGAGAAGAGGTGAGCGTTCAAAGCAGAGCTTGACAGTAAGCAAAAGGGTATTAGGTGTAACATTACCATTTTTTAATTTCCGCATGACTCTGAGGATTAAAACATAATTGGAAATATTCTAGATTATAGAGCACTATTTCTCAACCTTGGTGGCTTTAAGATGTATGGACTTTACAACTTCCAAAGTTGGATTTTCAAAGTCCAGTCATCTTACAGCCTCCATAGTTGAAAAACATTGCCATAGAGGTTACATAGCCACAGATAGAAACAGATTGGGATCTATAGAATTAACTTACATATGAAGCCTACTAGATTGAGAATATATCTGCTGAATATAATTCCGCATTGGCAACAGGAAGGGCATCCGGCCAGTATACACTCAGCTCCATTCAGTTGCCCACTCTGCAAGGGATTATGGAGTCACTAAAAGAAGATGATGAAGCCTACTAGAGCTTTTTCAGAAAACTAGAATGCAGGAAACCCTCAATTTACAACCATTCATTTAACAATTGTTCAAAGTTGTGATGGAAGTGAAAAAAGTGACTTATGACCAGTCCTTGCATTGATGGCTGTTGCAGTGTCATGTGATCGAAATTTGGGCACAAGGCAACCAGCAAGATGGTCACTTGTGACTTTCCCAGGAGGTTTCTAACAAGTAAAGTCAATGGGAAAAGGGTGTTGCATAACAACTGAATCACTTAGCAAGGGATGTTCCAGTCCCAATTGTGGTCATAAGTCAAGGACTACCTGTTTTAGAGTATTGGGATGCTACCATAGGCTCGTCAGAGCATTATGGCAAACGTCTGGAAGTCTATTAAGTCTTGTTAGAAGAGCAACTTCCAATCATAAGCAGAAGTTGAACAAGGAAGTTGGTACTTGAGAGAGAAGAACCTAAACTCCTACTCCAGGATCAATAAAATTAATCTAGTAATTGGCTGTTGATTGTCCCTTTTTCATTCCCTTTACTTTTTCCCAAATGTGCTTCTTAAAATGGAGCCCATTCAGCTTGGCTTACTGTAAGGCCAAGCCTAGCCTATGGATTTTAAACAACATAGAAGGATGAATTAAGAAGAGAAACATTCATTTAAGATGTTCCTTGGTGTATCCTGGTTTACACTGGGACCCTTGCAAGTCCATTAGCTGTATACTGCAAGGACATGGCCTCTACTCATTTAGGAAGAACTTACATCAAATTCTAACCAGAAGAGCACTTGGAAGTACAATGCTACCTTGTTTCCCTCAAAATAAGACATCCCCTGATAATAAGTCCAATCGGGTTTTTGAGTGCATGGCAATAAGGCCAAGCGCATATTTCAGGGTTCAAAAAAATATAAGACAGGGTCTTATTTTCGGGGAAACACGGTAGATAGATAGATAGATAGATAGATAGATAGATAGATGGATGGATGGATGGATGGATGGATGGATGGATGGATGGATGGATAGATGGATACATGGATAGATGGATAGATGGATAGATGGATAGATGGATAGATAAATTAGATGATAGAGTAGATGATACCCTGTTTCCTCCAAAATAAGACATCCCCTGATAATAAGTCCAATCGGGTTTTTGAGCGCATAGCAATAAGACCAAGCATTTATTTCAGGGTTCAAAAAAATATAAGACAGGGTCTTATTTTCGGGGAAACACGGTAGATAGATAGATAGATGGATGGATGGATGGATGATAGATAGATAGATAGATAGATAGATAGATAGATAGATAAATTAGATGATAGAGTAGATGATACCCTGCTTTCCCCAAAATAAGACGTCCTCTGATACTAAGCCCAATCGGGTTTTTGAGCACCTGGCAATAAGGCCAAGCGCTTATTTCAGGGTTCAAAAAAATATAAGACAGGGTCTTATTTTCGGGGAAACACGGTAGATAGATAGATAGATAGATAGATAGATAGATAGATAGATAGATAGATGGATGGATGGATGGATGGATGGATGGATGGATGGATGGATGGATAGATGGATACATGGATAGATGGATAGATGGATAGATGGATAGATGGATAGATGGATAGATGGATAGATAAATTAGATGATAGAGTAGATGATACCCTGTTTCCTCCAAAATAAGACATCCCCTGATAATAAGTCCAATCGGTTTTTGAGCGCATAGCAATAAGACCAAGCATTTATTTCAGGGTTCAAAAAAATATAAGACAGGGTCTTATTTTCGGGGAAACACGGTAGATAGATAGATAGATGGATGGATAGATAGATAGATAGATAGATAGATAGATAGATAGATAAATTAGATGATAGAGTAGATGATACCCTGCTTTCCCCAAAATAAGACGTCGTCTGATACTAAGCCCAATCGGGTTTTTGAGCACCTGGCAATAAGGCCAAGCGCTTATTTCAGGGTTCAAAAAAATATAAGACAGGGTCTTATTTTCGGGAAAACACGGTATGTTGTGAATTTATTTGCTTTAAACCTTTTGCACCCTTCGGCAAAGCGGGTAAACTGAGTTTTGATTGCATCATCCCATCCATCATATTGCCTTTTTTTTATCATACCTTGAGACATTCCTGGACATGAAAAAACCTAATACCTTGACTACAGAGTTGGAAGTCCAAATGTTGAAATCATTTCTAGGACCAAACAGAACTTTGCTGGCCACCATCTGACCACCACCTAGCCATAAAACACTTAGGTCAGACAACAGGCTTAACTAAGTTAAGTTAAAGGCTTGGCAGGTACTGTATGTTTGCACTGAAAGATAAACCTGGTTAGTTTTAAACTTGGTTTGCTTTTTGGGTTGGAATTTTGATGTCTGTGTTGAAAACCCAGGTTAGTTTTTCATTTAATAGATCAAGAACCATTGCATCCAGTTTTGGTCGTCCCACTATAAAAAAGATGTTGAGATTCTAGAAAGAGTGCAGAGAAGAGCAACAAAGATGATTAGAGGACTGGAGGCTACAACAGATGATGAACAGTTGCAGGAATTGGTTATGTCTAATCCAGGGATCAGCAACCTAGGGCTCCGGAGCCACATGCGGCTCTTTGGGCCCTCTGCTGTGGCTCCCTGTTGGATGATCCCATCACTGGCTGGCCCTGCCCCTCACCCTCCCCTCCCAATCACTTCTCACCTGGCCTGAGAAGGTAAGGGTGACGGCGGGGGATGGAGAAGCGGCCGGGGCAGAGACAGAGAGCTACAAAGAGAAGGTGAGAAAGACATAGAGAGATACAGAGGGAGAGGGAGGGAGGGTGAGGGAGGGGAGAGAGATATGTGAAAAGGGTTTTGTGGTTCTCGGTGTTTTTTAACAACTGGTTCTCTGCCCTAATGACCGGCTGGGTAGGCGTGGCTAGGGGGGTCATGTGATTGGTAGAAGTGAGTGACACTGAATTGGCCACACCCACCCAGGTTTTGTGGCTCCCGATGTTTTCTTTTCTGTGCGAAACGGGTCCAAATGGCTCTTTGAGTGCTTAAGGTTGCAGACCCCTGGTCTAGTCTAATGAGGAGAAGGACCAGGGGAGACATGATAGCAGTATTTGAGGGGCTGCCACAAAGAAGAGGGAGTCAAGCTATTCTCCAAAGCAAAGGCAGGACAAGAAGCAATGGATGGAAACTAATCAAAGAGAAAACCAACGTAGAACTAAGAAGACATTTCCTGACAGAACAATTGATCAGTGGAATGGCTTGCCTTCAGAAGTTGTAGGTGCTCCATCACTGAAGGTTTTTAAGAGATTGGATATGTCTAGAATGGTATAGGGTTTCCTGCCTAAGCAGGGGTTGGACTAGAAGACCTCCATGGTCCCTTCCAACTCTGTTATTCTGTTAAGAACAAACTCACATGGGTTAATTTATTAACCAACTTAAGTATAGTATGTGAACATAATCATTGAGCAGTGGCACTAATGCCGCCAGAGAAACAATAGCAGCTGCAACCATGGTCTGGTAAAGCCAGGTATCAGCTCCACAGATAAATACTTCTAGGATTTAAAGGGAAAAACAAAGTATGTGAAATGTAAAAAGGAGCATATTTATAATGCCAGGGTGAAGCTGAATTGACAAAGCAATCTTTGTTCGCTAAAGCATTGTTTACTTAGTTGTAAACAAGCATTGTGCCCATGTCCTTCCCTTCCCTGAGCATTTCAATCATGGTTTATTAAACCAGAATAAACTGGTTTACCTTGCACAACTAGCTTTATTCAGTCGGATGTATATCTCATTGGACCATGGCAACTACTTTGAAGTAGACAGATACAAGCTTCTGTTGCAGTCTATGTCTGTCAAACAGAATATGATGGCAGTTTGACGTTCTGGTTTTGATATTCTAGTAATCTGTAATTCGAAGATTAAGGTAAAGGTGTAGAAGGAATGCGGTGGCTCAGTGGCTAAGATGCTGAGCTTGTCGATCGAAAG